GGAGTCCCCCAGCCCCAGCACAGGAGGGAGCCCAGTGCCCCAGGGCCTGGTGGGAGCAGCCGCTGACCCCGGGCAGGCTGGCCTGCTCTGCACCTCTGGTTGAAGACAGAGGAGCTTGGGCCTGCTCAGGGGCTCTGCAGCTTTTTAAAGAAACAGACCCCTTTCACCCAACCACACCTCCTGTGCGAGAACAAGGGGCGTGCTGGGTCGAAGTGTGTGTGCTGCCCACTGCCCCAGTGACATGCACTCAGTCTTCTGTTCCCGGGAGGGACACAGCACTGTTGACCTCTTTCTTCCCTCCGCCCACGTGGGCCCGCAGCTCGGGGAGCACTTCCGCCTAGAAATCTTCGAGGGCTGCACCTTCTCGGGCCAGTGCCTGGAGCTCCAGGAGGACTGTCCTCCTGCGGAACCGGAGGAGTCGGGGCTGAGCCCAGACCCGTGTCAGTGCCACCGCAGTGTCGGGGGATGGAGTGTGAGTGCAGATGGCACGGCCCCCAGTCGCTGGGCCCTACCAGGCAGGTGTGGGGGCTTTGGGGTGGGTCAGACCCAGGCAAGTGGGCAGCTTGTTCCCGGCCCCAGAGGCTCTTCCCCGCTCAGCTGCCCCCCCTGCCCCAGGCACACATCGCCCTGACCTCCGCCTTGGCCCCGAGGCCGCCGTCCCTCAGGCATCACTGAGGGCGCGCTGCAGACTAGTCCACACCCTTGTCTGTGGTCTCTGCTCTTGCTCTCAGGGTTGCTAGAGCTGCCCAGGGGCCTGGAGCTGTGGCAGCTGCAGCCTGGGCTGTGCTGGGAGGGAGTAGGGGCCCCCTGGGGTTCCGAGGCGTCTGGAGGCCGGCTTCCCACTGGAGGGGATGTCCTTGGGGCAGTAATTGGCCCCCATTCTGAGCCAGTGCCCTGGGGACCCCCGTGCTTCCCCAGAGTGAGAGGATGGACTGGGGGGGAGGGGGCAGGCAGGCAGGGAGGGGCCAGCAGGGGGGCGGGCTGGCGCAGGGGAGGAAGTGGGTGCTGGGCCTCTGGGTGGCCCTGCGATGCTCAGCATCCTCTTGCCTGACCTGCCACCCCTCCTGCCCTAGGTGGGTCCTGGACCCGGAGCCCAACTACCAAGGCACACACCTGGTGGAGCCGGGGCGGGGGAGGGGGGGGGCGCGGATGCCACAGCTTCTCCGGCTGGGAGGCCCCTAGTACTTGTGTCCAGTCCCTCCAAAGGGTTGTCCACTTCTAACTGGGCCGCCACTGTTGGGCCAGGCCCAGGAGAGGCCCAGGACCGGGTAGTCCCTTCCAGCCACCGTGTGGACTGGGGACCACGGGGAATGAAAGTCATAAAAGTGGAGAGTGAGCGACCTGAATGATTTCTCTGCCCTTCCTGACATGAGGGCAACTGGACAGGGGCTGGTGGACTCCCAGGGAGGCCCAGGGGCCTGAGAGGGCGGGGAGGGCACTGGGAGGCAGCCACAGGGGGACATGAGAGCTGGGAGGGACCCTTTCATTTCACAGGGGAGCCCAGGCCTGAGTGGGAGTGATTGCCTAGGCCCCAGAACAAGCTCCCCGGGAGCCAGGACGGGCCAGGGTGCTTCTCCGACCCCTGGGCACCCCCTCCGAGTTAGGGGACAACAGGAGGGAGGAAGTGATGACAGAGGGACAGGGATGGAGAAGTGATGGGCGGGCCTGAGGCTCCTCCAGGCTGTGCCTCTCTGACTCAGGGACACGTGACCCCCGTGCTCTCCTCTTGGCCTCGGGTTTACATGGCCACTGGCCCCTGAAAGGATGGGCTGGCCCCCAGGGACACTCACTCCTTCCAAGCTGTAAGGAGAGGGAAATGGGGGAGGGTGGCAGCCCAGGCGGCTGTTGCATGAACAGGTGGGCTCGGCGGGGATGGCGGGGAAGGGAGCTGTCAGGGCTGAAGGGGACACAGCCTCCACTCCAGCCCCACCCACAGGTGAGTCCACGGAACTTCTCTGTGGCTGGGTCCCCTCCAGGACCCCGCGTCCATCCTGTTGGGAGTGGAGGCACCGCCTCCGGGGGGAGAGGGAGGAAAGAGCCTGCCCTGGAGGCAGCGGGATTTCTGAGACTATGAGGGTCCTTGTCCCCAGCACCGTCCCACTCACACTTGAGGGGGAACGTTCCGAACACTGGGGTCTTTCCTGCAACTGCCTGACCTCCAGGCCCTCCAACCTCCACAGCAGGAAGGAAAGGAGGGTCAGCAGACCTCTAGGACCTCAGCCCTTTTAGCCGTTGTTGATGGTGGTGGTGACGTCAGTGAGCATTTAGTGAGCACCGACGGTGTGCCACACTCTGCTAGCAGAATCTGTATCGTTTTACTTACGATGCACAATAACACCAAGATTGTGATACGCTGGTTGTCACCACTGCAAATGAGGGCAGCTGGACACAGGGCGTTTGAGCAACTTGCCCATGGTCACAGAGCAGGCAGGATTCAAACCCAGGTCGGGTGGGTCCCTTTGTCCTACCCCTCTCTCGCACATATCGGTGCATCTGACAACAGTTACGTTAACAGGAGTCCCACCCGGTAGTGATGGCACCCTACTGGTAAAGGCATTGTTCCCTGTACCACCTCATTCGAACTCCCTGTGACCGGAGAGGAATAGAAGCTGGGCGTCCCTGCCCTGGAGTAGGGCTCATGGGGAGAAGCAGACATGGGGGGAACTGGGAGTGAAGTGTATTAGTCAGCTTGGGCTGCTGTAACAAATATCACCACTGAGAGTTTAGAGAACAGACATTAGTTTTCTCATAATTCTGGAGGCCAGAAGTCCAAGATCAGGACAGCAGGCTTGGTTCCTCCTTAGGCGCCTCTCCTTGGTTTATAGAGAGCTGTCTTCTCTGTGACCTTCTCTCTACATGTGTCTGTGTCCTGATCTCTTAAGGGCACCCGTCATGTTGGGTTAGGGTCCGTACTAACTACCTCAGTTTAGCTTTGTCACCTCCGTGAAGATCCTCTGCCAAGGACAGTCACATCTTGAGGTTCTGAGGGTTAGGACTTCAACATATGAAGGGGGAGGGACTCATCTCAGCCTATAATCTGAACCAAACAGCTTCTCCAGCCCCAGTTTCCTGCTCTGTGGAATGACTGCTGTCATATGTTGCTCCAACTGTATATAGTTGTAGGAGCCAAACCAGTCACCCATGGGAAGGTGCTGTGTGGAGAGTGGTTATTAGTCGTAAGTGACGCGCTCGATGGCCCCCGGGTACATCGGGGGACCAGGGAGAAGCCTCTGTGTCAGGTGAGAGATGAGCGAGGTTAAGAGCGAGCTCTGGGTCTGGGTTCTGACTCCTCCTTGGACACACTGATCCATGCCTCAGTTTCCCCAGCTGTACGGTGGGGATATCCACAGCACCCCCTCCTAGGGTATTAAATGGAAACTACGGATGAAGGACGCCCTCCCACTGGCCAGCTCCCCAGGAGCCAGGGTTGCAGCCCTTGCGAGCATTCCAGAGCTTTCCCTGAACCTGTCCTCGCTCCCGGGGCGGAGCCAGGGCCGCACCTCACTAAGTGTCGATGCCATGCTCCAGGACAGGCTGGTGCTCCCGGGTGACCCACCCCCCTCAGCCCAGCCCCCTGCTCCCTAATCTGTCAGCAAATCTGCTTTTGTCTGAAAGAAGGAAAACAAGATTCCCACCAGAATGCTTGCGGGCAGCCTGTCCAGGGGGTCGGGGACCCAGGGCCAGGCCTCTGAGGAGTCACATGCTTCACATATTTGTCTCCGCTCTGTGGTTTGGGAAGCTGGGCTCTCAGGGCGCCATCCTGCATGTCCTCAGCCCTGCCCGCTGGGCGCTGCTGACCAGGCCCCCATGTGTGGTGTTTATCAGGTCTGAGCACAGAAAACCTCCCCCTGGAGGCCCCTCAGAGGTTCCCGGGCAGCAGAGGGCTGGCCCAGGAGCGTTCTGTCCACCTGTCCCCTCCCCCCACTCCAGGTGAGCCCAGCTGGCCCCCCAGCCCCCTGGGGCTCCCCACATTTTCTGCTGAAGGCCTCCTGTCTCCACCTTCGCCCCTCCAAGTGATGGCCCTCAAAAGTCCCACATATCTGTGTTCCCCTCAAGAAACCACATGGATTTCCAATGAAAACGTGATGAATAAGAGAGTCTTAAAAATTTAGCTCCTCCAGGTTGCGGGCTCTATCCCCACTGAGGGGTGTGCAGGAGGCAGCCAATCAATGTTTGTCTCTCATGGATGTTTCTATCTCTCTCTCCCTCTCCCTTCCCCTCTCTCTAAAAATCAATTAAAACATTTTTTAAAAGCGTAGTTCCAGAGTTTCGTTTTGGGAAGATGGGAACGTTCTGGGGGGGACGGGTGGTGACGGTTGCACGCTGTGCGTGGCCCCGACGGCGAAGCTGTTCTGTGCGTTTCACCGCAGCAAACAGAACTCCAGCGCCTGGCTGCTGGGCTGCTGAGGCTGCGGGGGGGTAATTGGGGTATCGAGACCTTCCGAACCCTGGAGGACTCAGTAGGTCTTACCTGCCCGTGCCTCCCTTCCCTGAGGAATCTATCACCTTCTTACTGATCCCATCTGGTTTCCCATTGAGTGCTGTGCACAGGTGACCTCCTTCTGCAGGGGCTCAGGGAGCCGGGGAGGCCCGGGCTGAACCCTGACCTCCTGAGCCCCAGACCCTGCTCAGCCACACACATGACTGGGGGCAGCCCGGGGACACGGCGGGGAGTGACTTGCATGGTGGAGTGTGAGGCCTGGACCTGTAAGATGAGCATCTGTGCCTGCAGCGGAGCCCGTTTGGAATCAGTGATTGAAAACATCCCGAGGAGTGCAGCTGACGCGGTTCTTGGTGTGGGCTCTGCCAGAGAGGCGCCAGGGGGGGCCTGCGGGTTTGGAGGAGGCCTCTCGGAGCTGAGACCAGCCCCCTGCTCAGGGTGTGGGGGAGCAGGCTGAGCGGTCAGAGGTGACACCCCTGCTCCTGGCCAAGCCTGCCCGGGTCCCCCAGGCCTGAACACCCTGGGTGGAGAGCAGGAGGGAGAGGGGGGTCCATGTGCACCTGGAGAGGGTGTGGAGGTTATGTGGGATCAGGTTGAGGGGTCACAGTTAGGAGAGAGGCAGGAAGACGGACCGGACCACATCCTCTCCGAACACAACCTGCCCGTCCCCAGCTCCCACGACCGGGGGCTGAGATGGCTGTCTCCAGGGTCCCTTCCCCATCCCTCTCTGCACACAACCTGCCCGTCGTCCCCAGCTCCCACGACTGGGGGCTGAGATGGCTGTCTCCAGGGTCCCTTCCCCATAGAAGAGTGGGGAGGCTGTCCCTGGGTTTCGGGCACAAGTATCAGGGTAGCGTGTCCACTTCACAACCGGGCCCAAGCTACCTGGACCCCGGGAGTCCTGAACCACAACCAGAATGGGCGCCACCACCCATGAGGTGGGGCTGCTGAGGGTGGGGGGAGAGAGGAGCCTCAGAGATGGCACAGCCCTCCAGGAAGCGAAGGGGCGCTCAAATGCCACCTTATGCCTCATGGAGGGCTGGATGCCAAGGCAGGGGCGGTGTTCATCCTCCTCAAAAAACAAGATAGAAAAGGTACGTGAAGAAATCTTTGGAAAAGGTAGACGAGAAGAGGTGAGGCCGGGGTAAGGTTGGCATCCCCAGTACCATAGGCAGCACCGAGGCCGAGTCTCTGCTGGAATGGACTCCTGCTTGGAAAAGCAGCAGGGAAACAGGATGGGCCCTGCGATGCAGAGTCACAAGATAAAAAGAAGCCAGTTTCCCAGGAGGAGCACAGCAATTCCTGGGACTCGGGCCAGGAAACGCTTCCCTGCGTCCGCGGGACCCGCTGAATTTCACGGGCTGCCGCGAGGCATCCCCAGGGCATCCCTCCTGCAAAGAAAATCACGGCTTCCTGGGATTTTTGTTACTAACGTCCCACATGGCCCGGCCAGTGGCGCTGTGCCAAGGTAAACTTTCTGTGGGGGAGAAGATTTTAACATCCCGTGTTTACATAGGAACATGTAGCTGATTCTAAGCAAACCTAATTGGGCTATTAAAGCAGGGCCTGGCCAGACTTGGTTGTCAGTAAATACTAACAGCAACAACAACAGCTCAGCCAGCATCTACTGAACAATTACTGTGCCTGGAAGACGGTGTTAAACCATTTCTACAGATAATGAGGTGGGCAGGTTATTCTCTCTCATTGACAGTTGAAAAAATAGACTTAGAAGGTTATTGTA